ATAAACTAAAATTGCCTTTAGCTGGTTCAGTTCATGTACAGTTCATGTTTATACATTCCATTTCTTGTTTTACTGTGGCTATCTTCCCTCATTTTCTCATTCTGTATTCCTATAACATGTGCTGTGCAGCTTTAGACTTTCCTTTCAACTCAGAGCATGTCAACGGCTGAATGTCCTTTCAACTTGAGTCTAGTAAGTTGCATCATTAGACACAGCACTACTCATAGTTGTCTTCCAAGGGCTTGTTGAGTGCCACTCAACCTGGGAATTTCATCTTCTGGCACTAACTCTTGTTTCATTTTCAAATGTCTCATCATAGGGTTGATGAATTTATTATGCCCTCTTTCCTGCATTACTAATAGGTGTTAGCTATGATGCCAATGAGAGATTCTCTTCCAGGATTACTTTCCACTTCTGCTACTGCCCAGTAGCTATTTAGTCTGGCTCCTCAGGAAAAGAAGCATTACTAGCAGCACTCCTGCCCTCAGTATAGCCTCTTACCCCACAGGTGTATGCAAACTCATCACTGTGGAACAATGGTGTTAAGAATTACATTGCCATATTATCCTTGTTTACCCAAACTCTATAGAGTTCAATGCAATTCAATCCCAGATAAGTAGATCTTCAATTGCAACCTTAATTAGAGACTACTTTGATTAGTAATACTGGAGGTTGTTTCCAAGTGTATTCAGTACAATAGTTTGAAACCCACAAATAATTTGCTTTTTCATTCCGAGTCCTAATTATGGAGAAGATTCTTTAGAATCGGGTTGTGGGTAATTTCAGTCATACAAGACAGTAGCATCATACCATATAAATATTTCCTGGAATACAGTATATAAAATTAATTCCATATAGAAGTTTGTTGTGATGTAGTTTTTTTTTCTGCTTACGTTGTATCTTCCTTGACTTCAGGCCATTATACCTCTGCTCCTAATAATTCTGATATTGCTAAGTCGAGTTTAGCTATTTGACAGTATTAAATTGCAGCCCAAAACATTTGTATTTATTACTGCCAGCTCTCATTTAGAAGTACTGTACAAAACTATGTAGACCACTGAAACTACATGATCAGAACAAATGAGCAAAATGAGTTGAGGTATTCTGAATTCATGAAAGAACAGAGCAAAGATAAGTGACGAAGGGTGCCTATACACTATAGAATTAAAGCAGTTTAATTCCACCGTCATTGCCATGGCTCAATGCTATAGAATCTCGGGAGTTGTAGTTTGGTGAGGCAGCAACTCTATTTGGAAGAGGAGAGTAAAGAGCTTGTAAAACTACCATCTCCCATGATTCCATAGCATTGAGTGATGGCAGTTAAAGTGGTGTCAAACTTCATTAATTACATGGTGTAAATGCACCATAAAATGCTAATCTAGTTTCCCCCCACAATTTGGGCACTGATGGAACTGGAAGAAAAGATACCTGGCTCTATGGAGTCTATGAAGGACCCATTCAATGGTTACATTAGTTAAGTTTACAAGTATTGTAATTTGCCAACCTATATTTCCTAGAAGTTGGCAAAACAGAGCCTTCTCAGTGTCACCTTCCCCGCCCCCCCGCCCCCCGGCTTTGGAACGCCCTCCCTAGGAAGATAAGGCCGGCCTCAACACTGTCCTCCTTCCATAGGCAGGCATGTAGCGGGGGGGGGGGGGGGGTCCACGAGAAGGTCTTACTCATGGTGGTCCACGAGAAGGTCTTACTGGTACATTATTTAAACTTTTATGTTTATTCATATGATCTGATCACCATGTTCCCATATGTATGGGGGTATTGGGGTAACGATACAAAAGGTTTGCTAGGGTAGACCCTCTTTCACTCAGACTCAGCTCCTCCTCCCCCTGAATCAAACTCAGCTCCCCCTGAATCAAAATCCTGGCTACGGGCCTGTCCATAGGGATTGGAAGACTTGGATGTTTAAACAAACCTTTGAGAATGTCTAGCCCCAATGGTCCACAATTAATGACACGGCACTGCACTCTCATCCCATTCCCTTGTCTTGTTTATAGTTTGGCCACGTCTTATGGCAGCTATCACCATAGGTTATTGGGTATTGTTCTGAATTTTAAATTTTTGTTTTTATGTGCTGTTGGTTTTACTTTTTTGTATTGTACTGGATGTTTATTTTATGCATTGTTTTTAGGCATTTTGTGACATATGTAAGCCATCCCATGTCTTTTCGGGGAGATGGAGGTGGGGTACAAAAATAAAGTTATTAAAACAGGATTATTATACATGGAGATGAATGAAGTCAGACTGAACATTAATCTAAAAGAAACCAGGGTAAGAAGAGGATAATTTTATTTACTTGACTGTTATTGTGCAAAACTCAATCATTGTGAAAACACAGATGTAAATCTAACGTTTTCATATATTTTTGAAAAATTGAGTACAAAATTCCTTAAGATTCTATATGCAAAATTTTTAAAAACCATAATAAGAAAAATAGTCTTGTCATACATTTACAACAAAGCAATTTATTTCATCACACAATTTTTCTTGCATGGAAGAGATGGATTTTAATCTAAGACAGCTTATGATGAAATAAGGTGGTTAGTTTTCAAAGTGTCACATAACTACTTGTTTGTTCCTTTTTTCTTCCCTGTTATGCTTTTACAGAGAAGGCCCCGACTTTAGGCAAAGTCAGAAAACTGCCTCTGTGGCAAATGCTGGAAGAAAGAAGTGGTAGCTCCACATAACTATTTCTTTTGGACTTTTGAACTTTCTTGGGAGGATGGGATGCTCATGCCACCCCCATCTGCACACTCTAGTTTGTTATTTTCTGGTGTTATGGGAGCAGCCACCCCATGACTAGTACTGCAGTAATATTATACAGCCAATCTGCCAGGCATGAAATGGAAGTTAGGGTGGAGTAGCCTGCCTTTTCTGTCATAAGATTAAAATGTCATGGACCACCCTTCTTAGGACAGCTTTTCTAGTCTTATGCAACCCAGTAGATCACAATCTAACACGCACAAGCATCATTTACAGTTAGGTGGACTTCAAAAAGTTTTCCTAAGTTTGCTGAATTACAGCAATTATGTCTCCTTTTCATGAATTGTTGATTCGAAGGAAGCAATGCAGCTGAGCTTCCAAGAATCACCAAGGCCAGACACGTGATCCTAGAAGTGGAACGGATGAGAAGGCTCAAGGCATTGTTCCTGCATTAATACACATTAGTCTCAGAAGTCATTCATGTTTCAGAAAGATATAATAGCAACCATGGGTGCAACTGTATTCTAGAATTAATGCAGCAACACTTGAACTGCCATGGCTCCATGTTGTAGAACCATGGGATTTGTAGTTTGGTGAGGCAGCAGCACTCTTTGCCAGAGAAGGCTAAAGACATTGTGGAATGACAAGCATTGAGCCATAGCAGTTGAAGTGGTGTCAATCTGCATTCATTCTAGAGTGTATTATTTATTTATTTAGTTACTATATTTATATACCGTCCCTCTCAGCTTGCAGGCGACTCGGGGCAGTTCACAGTTGGTGCCGAGACCATAAAATACAATTTCAATACAATAAAAATAATCGGATAATAAAACCATAACAAAATCAATAAAAATATGAACATTAGGGTCTCCTATTAAAAACATTGTCTAATCACATTGTTCAACCATTCCATTTTCCTATGTGTATTTGGAAATGCCTGCTCAAAGAGCCAAGTCTTGATTCTCTTTTGAAATGTTAAAAGGGAGGGGGCCGATCTGATATCCTTAGGGAGGGCGTTCCATAGTCGAGGCGCCACCACTGAGAAGGCCCTGCCTCTCTTTCCTGCCAACCATGCTTGTGATGAAGGCGGGACCAAGAGCAGGGCCTCTCCAGACAATCTTAAAGTCCTGGAGCAGTGGTTCTCAACCCGGGGTCCCCTGATGTTTTGGCCTTCAACTCCCAGAAATCTTAACAGCTGGTAAACTGGCTGGGATTTCTGGGAGTTGTAGGCCAAAACACCTGGGAACCCACAGGTTGAGAACCACTGTCCTGGAGGGTTCATAAGGGGAAATGAATTCGGACAGGTAAGTGTAGATAGACCCTTTGTCTGGAGGTGAACCCAGTATCAGTAAACAACAAATGCTTGGATTATTCCATGATGAAGCCTAGTTTACATTAAGATTGCTTAGACTTTATTTACTTCTGCTCCAAGTCTCATAACAAAAGCGACACCTCAGGACACATCTACACTGTAGAACGAATGCAGATTGACACCACTTTAACTGCTATGGCTCAATGCATGTCATTTCACAACATCTTTAGCCTTCTCTGGCAAAGAGTGCCAGATAAATTGACAAGAGATTGACACCACTTTAGCTGCCATGGCTCAATGCTATGTAAACATGGGATGTATAGTTTTATAAGGACTTTAGGCGCCTCTTCCAAAAAGTGCTGACGCCTCACCAAACTACAACTCCCTGTTTTTTGTTTTTTTCTTTAGCACTGAGCTATGTCAGGTAAAGTTGGGCCAAACTGTATTACTCCTGCAGTGTAGATGCAACATCAAAGGACACCTGTTGAGCCCCTTTTCATGGGACAAAGACTTTATAGAGTGGCACTGAAAGGGTGCATCTACGCTAGGCATGTGTAAACTTCGGCCCTCCAGGTGTTTTGGACTTCAACTCCCACAATTCCTGAATTGTGGGAGTTGAAGTCCAAAACACCTGGAGGGCCGAAGTTTGCCCATGCCTGTTCCACACAGTAGAAATAACAGTTTTACCCACTGCCACTGCTGTGGCACAGTACTATGAAACCTTGGGATTTCTAGTTTGGCGAGGAAACCAGGACTCTCCTGGCAGAGATGCCTAAAGATATTGCAAGCGACAACTCCCATGATCCAACGGCATTGGGTAGTTGAAGTGGGGTCAAACCGCATTACTTCTGCAGTGCAGACGCAGTCAAACTTTTCCTCCCAGACGCGCAAAGTAAGGAACAACTGGCTGGCTGGCTGGCTGGCTGAATGACACCCCAGAAAGGAGAAGCAGGAAAGGTAGTAGCCGTACTTTGTTTGGCGGCGCTGTCAGGGCTGACGGGTTTGGGCATGAGTCCTACCAAGGCTGCAGACTTCAAGGCGCTCCCATAGCCGGCCGCCAAGTTTTCCGAGGCCCTCTTGGCCAAAGAGAGGAGGGGCGCCGACCAGGCCGGGCCTTCCACACTCTCCTCCGGGCCGTCGCTTGGGAGCTCGGAAGTATCGGGCGCCTGGGCCCCGCCGAGGACTTCGGGGGCCCCTCTTTGCTCCGCGGCTCCTTCCCCTTCGGCCATCTTGGCTCGAGGGGGGCGTGTCACGTGATACGCGCGTCCCAAGAGGGAGCCTCTGCCTCTTGTAGGGTGGATGAAAGAAGGAAGGAATGCAACCTGACGTCACGTGATCTGCCTTGGTTCCATGCTAAGGAATCCTGGGAGTTGTAGTACTTTGGATGGAGGCCCCAGCTCTCTTAGGCAGAGAAGGCTATATAGAGCAGGCGTGGGCAAACTTGGCCCCTCCAGGTGTTTTAGACTTCCACAATTCCTAACAACCGGTTAATTGTCGAAAGTTTTCATGGCCGGAATCACTGAGTTGTTGTGTGTTTTCTGGGCTGTCTGCCCATGTTCCAGAAGCATTCTCTCCTGACATTTCGCCTGCATCTATGGCAGGCATCCTCAGAGGTTGTGAAGTCTGTTGGAAACTAGGCAATTGGGGTTTATATATCTGTGGAATGTACAGGATTGGAGAAATAACTCTTGTCTGCTTGAGGCAAGTGTGAATGCTGCAGTAGGCCACTTTGATTTGCATTTAATGGCCTTGTGACATCAAAGCCTGGCTGACTGCTGAGAAGAGTTCTTTCTCCTACTATGGACATTCCACAGATATATAAATTGCACTTTTCATCCACATCCATGGCAGCAGGCACCCTCAAAATGGCCTATCAGTTTTCAAGGTCTGGCTTCTTACTGCCTGGGGGAATCCTTTTATTCATTAAAATGAACAAAATCTGGCTACCAGTATTTAAAAAGCTCTAAAATATAACAGTAAATAAAGAACAACACTCAAAACGGGAATTCTAGACACAAAACTATGAGGGCCAACTAATAACCTCCCAACAAAGGATCCCCCCCCCCCCGTCAGTAAGAAGCCAGACCTTGAAAACTGCTAGGCCATTAAATGCTAATCAAGGTGGCCAATTGAAACATTCACACTTACCTCCAACAGACAAGAGTTCTTTCTCCCACCCTGTACATTCCACAGATATATAAACCCAGTTTTCCTAGTTTCCAGCAGACCTCACAACCTCTGAGAATGCCTGCCATAGATGCAGGTGAAATGGCAGGAGAGAATGCTCCTGGAACATGGCCGTACAGCCCGGAAAGCACACAACAACCCTGCTCATGGTGAACTGTTTCATATAATTCTAATTCTAATCCTTTTGCATCTTCCAGGATAATTCTAACCTTTTCTCCTCTTGTCCTGTACCTGAAAAGAGAGCTGAAACTTACTGCAGGATAAAAACTGTGAACCACGAGCTTTCACTGCCATCTAGTGAGTTAATCTAGTCAGTTACCTTGTTTGTTCAAGAGCCTTGCATATAAGGAAAGAAAAAGAAAAGGAATGGTATTCACAGTAATATGTGGAAATTGGCTCCCTGGGTGGACAATTAATGGCCAAGCAATGATTCTGCAATTTTAACATTGCAGTGTTTTTCACAAGTTCTCCTATGGATGTGGTCTGCAGTGGAAATATTGGTGGGAAAGGATTCTGCATACCATTGTGGTGGCATCATCTACCTGCGTGGAGGCACCTCCACTACCTAGATTTAAAAAATGAAATTCACAAAAGTCTTGGCTATTTGGTTGTTATGCACTCACATGGTTTCTCAACCTCTAAGGCAGTGGTTCTCAACCTGTGGGTCCCCAGGTGTTTTGGCCTACAACTCCCAGAAATCTCAGCCAGTTTACCAGTGGTTAAGATTTCTGGGGACCCACGGGTTGAGAACCAAAATTAGTCATCTGATTAAATTAGTCATCTGATTAAAAATACAATAATTAAGTAGTTATCTGATTGAGAGCCAGCATGTTGTAATGGTTTCTGTGTTGGGTTATGACTTTGGAGGCCAGGATTTCAATCGCTGCTCCGTCATCGAAACCTACTGGGCAGCCATGGGCAAGTCACTCTCTGAGCCTCAGAAGAGGCAAAAGCAAATCTCCGAACAAATTTTGGCAAAGCAAATCCCATCATTTTCAGGTACAAGAGGAGAAAAAGATCCTGTGGATGACTTTATTGTTATAGAATCGCTTTTGGAGCCCTTCCACACGGCCATATAACCTATAATACCAAGGCAGATAATCCATAATATCTGCTTTGAACTCGGTTATCTGAGTCCACACTGCCATATAACCCAGTTCAAAGCAGATAATGTGGGATTTTATACAGCTGCGTGGAAGGGGCTTTGGCAACCCAACCTATGGCAACCCAAATTAATATGAAGCATGCACTGTATTTTTTTTTCAGTTTGATGCTTTATATTCAGATCTGCAATTAATATCAAGGAATTTCATTATATCAGGGAAAGGCAGCTTGTGGCTGATCAGATGTAACTGGACTATTATTCCCATCAGCCTTAGGCCCCTTCCATACAGCTGAATAAAGTCTCACATTATCTGCTTGAACTGGAATATATAGCAATGTGGACTCAGATAACCCAGTTCAAAGCATATATTGTGGGATTTTCTGCATTGATATTCTGGGGTATAGGGCTGTGTGGACGGGCCCTTAGTTAGCATTGACAGTGGGAAGGATAATGGGAATTACAATCCAACAACCCCTAGGGTCATAAGATGCCCTCACCTGACTTACATTCTAGCATAAACAAGAAATTATACTGAGTTTCAGTGTTGAACATAGCTGAGAAACGGGGGGAAATATCTGTTGTTCTCATTCCAAGCAGTGGAATTGCCATAGTGGCAAAACGTTGTCCTGTAACTTCCAGATTCCTCCAGCCAGCATTTCTATAGATCCCCTTTTGAAGCAAAAGTTTCTAGCGGAGCCCCAACATTTAACTTATACCACTATCCAATATTTGTGCATTTCATTTTTTTCTTGTCTAAATATAGTACTTTCCTTGTTATCGACATCAAGTTTATTAGTCTGCAGTTGCTTGAGTTTTCTAGGCAACATCCATATTATAGTTTTCTGTACTAATTTATTTGAAATCCAGAAAGCTGAAAAATTAAGGCAACCACCCACATATTTGTTCTATTTCTTTATTCCAATAAAATGACAGTAGCACATTATTTTTGCTAGAACATTTGGCATTTATAGAAAGCCTTATCATGATTCAGAAAGTCAAATGGTCATCTTTGAGTTCTGGTTACCCAGAAACCAAGTTTCTCAATATTTATAAAGCTCTTCCAGATGCAGTATTAAAATTCATTTGGGGTAGCTATTTAATACCATAAAAGGAGATGGTGTATAACTGACTTGGAAACACACCTGCTTCTTCTAGACTTAATAAAAATCAGGATAAAAATATCCTCAAATTAAGGAGAAGGGATATGAGATTTTGAAGAGCTGAAGCGAAAGATTCTGAATCTCTGGTTAGAAGGGAAAAGATTATGCCTGTGCAGAGCTCCTTTCTCAAGCATTCAAAGAACAAGGAATTTATTACTTCATAAAGATTTCTACAATTCATATGAAACAAACCTTTTGAAATTAATTTTAAAAACCTTCCTCTGGGATAGCTTGATCTTTTTCAATGAGTGCTTTATGATATAATGTTTAATTAATGTAGTTTGAAATGCAAATGGGTCGGAACATCATTTGGAAGAGATGTATTGAGTTCATAGTGACTAGGATGAGGAACATCCCTGCCCCCTTTTCGAACAACTAGAGTTGGAAATGTTACCTTTTGGGAACTATACCTACAAGTCCCAGTGGTCATACGACATGGGGGATTTTGAGAATTATAGCACCAGTTCCCAGTTCACTTTTCCAAGGTGTTTATCATACAAGACACTTGTCCCATGCAAAAAGTGCTTTCCCCCTACACGGAAAGATAATATGCTACCTTTTGCACTACTGGTGCAATTTAAGTGTAACAGTGTTGCCTCCTCTAATTGTCCTTTTAGCTTTCTGATGTTGAAGGTAGCTGTGACTCTTCCTTTTTTCATTATTATTACTGGTCAGTGAACTTTATATGTTTGTTTGGCTATGTATGTAAATGCTGTAATCTGCTCTGAGTTCCTTAGGGGAGAAGGGTGAAATATAAATAAAGTGTATTATTATTATTATTATTATTATTATTATTATTAGTATAAAATCCAAAGTTGTCCATAAGGGTGTCTGGGATAGGGACACCTGTGCTTTCTGGTGGTCCATGGCACACACAATATTGGTTTCATGCATTATATTATTAAGCATACTACATATGAGATTGACAGGGGAGGCCCTCCTCTCGGTCCCACCACTGCCTCAAGTGCGGTTGGTGGGGATGAGAGAGAGGGCTTTCTCTGTGGTAGCCCCCTGGCTGTGGAATACCCTCCCAAATGAGATTAGATTAGCCCCCACCCTTCATTTTTTTCCATTCCAACATGAGTAGGCTGAATGGGTCCATATGAAACACATGTAAATTGACGGCAGTTGGTTTTATCTACTGTTGTTTTAAAATTGTATTGTTTTGATTTTATACTAACATATGTTGACTGGGGATTGTTGTTATAATTTTATGTGACTTGTTTTATACTTTTGTACCATTTTTACCGGTTGTACGTTATATGTGCCCTGGAGTGTTTTGCAAGTTGCCCTGAGTCCCTTTGGGGAGATGGTGGTGGGATATAAATAATTAAATAAATAAATACATTAATTTATTATTATTATTATTATTATTATTATTATTATTATATAAAATTACTATTGGGATGTGTGTATAAGGTAAATATGAAACATAAATGAATTTTGTGTTTAGATTTTGGTCCAAAACACTATAGAAATGCCAAAGAATCATAGAGTTGGAAGAGACCACAAGGTTCATCCAGTCCAACCTCATTCTGCCATGCAGGAATACACAACCAAAGCATCCCCAACAGATGGCCATCCAGCCTCTCCTTGAAAACCTCCAGAGAAGAAGACTCCGCCACACTCCCAGGCAGCATATTTTACTGCTGAATAGATCTGACTGTCAGGACATTTTTCCTGAGGTTTTGGTAGAATCCCATTTCTTGAAATTTGAATCTACTGCTCCGTGGCCTAGTCTATAGAGCAGCAGAAAACAGGCTCACCCCCTCCTCAATATGACACCTTTTCAAATATTTAAACATGG